GTTGACCCTCTTCTTTGTAGACTGGACACTGGTTCAAGTCCATCTGGTGGGGTCTCCATGGCCTCCTTGATCAAGAGGACAGGTGACTCACCACAGTTACAGGACATTTTGAGAGATGCTCATAGTCCCCTGGAACTTAGCCCACCTACGAGGGCAAGGAGCAAAAACGGTTGTTTATGTCCCTCAGACCAAATTACTATAGGCCTCAAAGTATGGCTGTTAAACACCCAAGAAGGTTAGTTCCACCAGTCTGCTACTTTTAATTATCATGTGCCATGTAGATAAAGCTTGGGCAAAGACCAAACATTGTCAGATAAACCTTGCCTAGATACATATTATATTCCTTGAACTAGTTGTATGTATAATTTGTCGGTAGGCTATTTGATTAATATGGTTTCCTCTGTTTTTTTTTTTTTAAACTAGCCAGGCATTATTTATCTCTCACATTGTCTAACCATTCCACCATGGTTTCCCCATTTAAAGTGCCCCCATTTTTCCCATTTATCCCTTAATAATAGCCTTCTACTATGGTCCCACCTCTCTTGAGCTCCTTCTTTCCCTTTATCCCTTATGTTCCTTGTATAACCTTCCCTCACCCCTCCCCTTAAAATAACCCCATTTCTATTCATATGTAACTTATTAAGCCTATTTCCTACTGTCCTCTTTCAGATTCTTTCTCTTCCTTTACCTCCCTGGTTCCTCTTCATTATCCTGGTTCCTGTAGTTATGTCTGGATATATACTCACTTATAAGAATTTGATGCTAGGATCCGCATATGAGGGAGAACATACATCTTTTTTTTTTTCTGAATCTGTTTTACTTCACTTAGTATAACAGTTTCTAGTTTCATCCATTTACCTGCAAATTTCATGATTTCATCTTTCTTTACTGCTGAGTAAAACTTCATCACATAAAATGATCCACATTTTCATTATCCACTCATCACTTGAGGGACCTTTAGGTTGCTTCCATCTCTTAGCTATTGTGAAAACAGCAGCAACAATCATGGATGTACAAGTGTCTCTGCAATAGTATGAATTCTTTGGGTATATGCCATGGAGTGGTATAACTGGGTCAAATGGTAGGCTCTTTTTTAGTTTTTTAAGATTTCTCCATACTGCTTTTCATAGGGGTTGAACAAGTTTGCAGTTCCACTAGCAGTGAATGAGGGTTCCCCTTTTCCCATTTGGTATCATTTGGTATCATTTGTTCTCTTAATCTTAACCAGTCTGACTGAGGTAAGAAGAAATCTTAAAGTGGTTTTAATTTGTATTTCCCTAATTACTAATCATGTTGGACACCTTTTAGGATGCTTCTGAGCCATCTTTATTTCTTCTTTTTAGAACTCTCTGTTCAGTTCCTTAGCCCATCTTTTAATCGGGTTACTTCCTTTCTGGATACTTTGCTTTTTGAGCTCGTTATATATTCTGGATGTTAGACCTCTGTCAGATGTGTCACTGGTGAAGATGATTTCTTAAGAGTCATACAGAAACAAATAAGCACATTTCACTCTGTGTCCTCATTTCAGTAGTCCAGTTACTAATTAAGTATAACTATTTCAAAGTTATGTGTTCCATATTTTGCTAATATCTTTCATTTTTATATGTAAATAAGCATTTTTGAATTGATTCTGTATGCCTAATCTTGCTGAGTATTTCCCATCAGGAATACATCTGTTATATACACTGTGCTTCTTCAAGAACAAAATGAAATTGTTTCTTATTTTATCATTAAAAATTTGTGTATTTCATGCAATACATTTTAATCATATTCAGACGCCCTCCCCTATCTTCAGTCTCCATAGCCCTCCCACTGGATTTCATGCATTCTGTTGTATATGTTAAAGCCCATCAGGTCAAGTTTGTGTACCTAGATGTCCCTCAGTGTGGGTTCAGACACTGGAGCCTGGTCAAACAATTACTAATAATATATTCTCAAATATATTTCAGTTGCATTCATTTTTCCCAGAGAAAAATCACCTTTTCTTATATGATGTTGCCTTCTTCTGTATTTTATCTGTTCACCTTTCTTCTAAGCGTCAGGCTCTTTAAAATAAACCTTGAATATTTTCATTTTACTGTGGCAGGAAAGCTGCAACGCTATGTGAATAAGGTCACAGTTTCTCATGGTTTCCAGTGTCAGGAATGAGCAAAAGGTTAGTGGTTGAGGTTATGTGACCAAAAGAGTTCATTCAAAGGATAACTGCATTGATCTCTTGGGAGAAACTATTCTTCAAATACATATGTTCGATTTCACAGAAATACTGTTTTATCCTAGGTAGAGATACAGCACTGGAATTCATGCAGATACTCAACTCATTTGCAATTTAAAATCAATTCATGTAGGCTTAAATGATAAAAGGTAGTAAATTTAACATGTTTCTTGTGGAATACCTTCTCTTCTCTATCAAATTATTATTTTGTAAAAATATCTTTAAATATGTGGCACCATGGTATGGCAATACTGCTTATTGATCAAATTTTTCACTAATTATATTTTGACACCATTTTCCCAATTTCTAATTTTAAAAATCAGTAAAGAGTTTAAAACTCTGCAACTTTTTAAATTTTACTTTGTGTAATTTTGTTTTGTGTATTTCATGTGGAACATCTTAATCATCTTTATGCTCCTTTAGCCATTGCACATTCCTATAGGACCCACTGGTTTTCATGCATTCTGTCATTGTGTTAAGGCTTATAGAGTCAAGTTAGTGTACCCAGATGTCCCTCAGTGCAAGTTCATCTACTAAAGTTTCATCAGCCTATCTAGAGTCTCTCCGTTTAATAAGATCAGCTCTTCCTCATCCAGCAGTAATCAGCTGCTGATAGTTCTTCAACTAAGACTGGGTCCTGCTGCCCATTTCCACAGTTCTATAACAGGTTCTTGTTAGCTTGAGTATGCATGGGCCTTGTGTTATGCCATATGTTCATATGAGCAAGATCCCGGGAGCCTGTAAGACTCTATTTCCATATTTTCATGCACCTCTTCCTTGGCTCTTATAATATTTCTGGCCCCTTTTCTGCAGCAGTCCCTGAGCCCTGAGTGGGTGCAGCTTAATACAAGAGTCCTGTCCAGGGACTCACACTCTTCAGGCTCTTATTCTCTATGCTTTGGTCATTTGTGTCGTGTTTTGTTCATTGCCCTCTATTGTATGAGGGAGCTGTGTTGATGTGAATTGAGAGATGCATTGGTGTTCCCTCTACCCCTTGTTCCACTGTTTCCTGAGTCTTAGATGTAGAAGGTCCATTGTAGATTTGCCGCTAAGGGTTGGGAATATTACAGACTCTTAATCTCTGTATGTGAACAGTTGCGGAAATCTGTAATAGTCTCTGTTGCCAAAGAAGCTTCTTTGATGAATGGTGACTGGCATAATTCTCTTTAAATATAAGGATCCATATTTATATACAAAATAAGCAATTACTTTTGTCTAGAAATGTGACAGCCATGGGGTGTTCTCTAAGATCTATGACCTCTCCAGCCTTGTATATTTGTCTATGTTTACATTACCATACATGAGTTCCCTATAAATCCAGTTAGTTAGCTATTGATTATCCCCAAGATAAATGTAGCACCACTGCCCCAATGTAGTTTACTGTGCCAGTCATTATTGTGGTTATTAGGTCTTGAAGTTGGGGTTGGACCATGGATTGATGGATACCCATAGCAGCTTGTGTAGTGGTCTCCAAAGCTCTGTGAACTAATCTTTAGGGAAAATGGTTTCCGGGTCAGTTCCAGATCCATTGCTTAAAAATCTTTGTCCAAAGTATGCCCCATCTTCAGCAATAGGATCTGACCTTAAAGTTCTGGAAGGCAATTAAGGAGTGTGGCAATAGAATGTGTACTTTGGGCACTCTTGAACTACCCTAAGCAACAACACAAAGGGCAGTTTCTCCTGTCTAACACTGTTTCTTGTTATGCAGTCTTGAGTCATATACATTGAATCATGTAGAGATATTGTATGTGTCAGTTTTCGCTAGGTTTTTCAACTAACATTTCCTTTGATTTTTCACTCTAAATAAGCATTATTTATCTCTCTTCTCTCTCTCCCTAACTCTCCCTTCTCCCTCTCCAGTTAACATTCCCCCAGTTTCCCCATTTCACCCTTGATATTACCTGTTTCCTATGGTACCACCCCCTTGAAATCCTTCTTACCATTGACCCCCATAGTTAACTCAAAAACGTTTATACAGGATGATATTACATTTTTTTCAGATTATAGAATTGGTGCCTTTGTGATAAATCTGTTTTTTTTTCTTAAATTTATTGATTAATTTGAACTTTAATTTGTTCTATGATAGTTTTCAAGTTCTACTGTTAAAATATAATGTCAGTAAATGTCCTAACAAAATCCGAAGAAAACGTTATTCTCTCAAGTACATAAAGCAGCCCTGAGGTAGTGAGAATTCTGTTTCCAATTTTCATATTGCAGAGTGGCATGGTAATTCAGAGGGTTGACAAAAGTGTTACCGTGTTTTTAAAATGTACATTGTCTATTGATTTATTTTGAAAAAGTTATTGAATCTCAGAGAAATTGTGAAAAACATCCATATTATGACCATACGAAGAAAATCATAGCCAAGTAAATGACACAGGTAGCATGAAAAATACAGCAGAGAAGAAAATGTAAAGTATTAAATTCTTCGTTATATTCAGAACACATATGTCGTTAGAGAAGAAAACCTTGCTAAGTAATTCCATGTCTATCTTTCAGCTGCACTCCAATTCTGACAAAGGTGATGGGTCTGTCAAGTACATCCTAACTGGAGAAGGGGCTGGGACTATATTTATCATTGACGACACCACCGGTGACATCCACTCTACCAAAAGCCTGGACAGAGAGCAGAAGACCCACTATGTGCTTCATGCCCAGGCTATTGACAGACGGACAAACAAGCCTCTTGAACCTGAATCTGAGTTCATCATCAAAGTGCAAGATATCAATGACAATGCTCCAAAATTCACAGATGGACCGTACATTGTTACTGTGCCTGAAATGTCAGATATGGGTAAGGAAATTATTTTTATAGTGGTAAAATTAGTGTATTGTACTGATAACCCAAAAATCATCTTTAGAAATCAGTTTACAATTTGATTTTTCATATTTGCAGAAATATGAAGAAAGTACAAAATATTTGGTTACTTTTATTGAATAAAATGCATAGATTTTAGTCATTATGTTTTGGAATGAATTTCTTAACATGTGCATATAGGTAATAGTTTGATGATTTCAAGAAAAACCTCATAAATTGGATAACATAGAATTCTTATTTGGCATTATGTTTTACGTTATATATGTCTCAGTATGTTTTTTATTCAATTTGATCTATTTTCATATAATACATCTTGATCGCATTTAGACCCTCTCCTTTATCGTCACCCCCCATTATATCCCCATTGGAGTTAATGTACTCTGTCATATATATCAAAACTTAAGCCATGTTTTTGTCTCCAAAATTTCCTTGGTGAATGTCTGGTCAACCTTTCTAACCTCACTCCCTTAAAGAAAACCACTTTCTCTCTACCAATAGTATTTGCCAATAGCTCCTCAACTAAAGTTGGGGTTTCGTACCATTTCCCCACTTCCAGGCTCGGTATTTGTCTGGTTTGAATTTTTATGCATCTTTTCCATGCTTCCACCATTGCTGCAAGTTCATATAATTAAATTCACAGCCACCTGGAAAACTGTTTTTTGAGGTTATCCACTACCACTGACTTTTACATTGCCTCTTCTTCCTCAGTGGTGCCTGAGCCTTGCTTGGCAATTTTGATATATATGTCGTATCCAGGAACAATAGCTCTTTGGTCGCTTATTCTCTGCAATTTGGCAGGTTTGGCTTTCTGGGTTAATCACTATCTCTTGCATGAGGAAGGTACACTTGTAAGAGTTGAAAGATGAATTAATTTTCTTTCTTCCCCTTGTTTCTTTATGTTCCCTGAGCCTTAGGTGTAGAGGTGAATTGTTGATATAGTATTTTGTGATTGGTGTCTCACAGACAATTATTCTCTGAGTTTGATCAGTTGTAGAACTTTATAAGAATCTCCATCTGTTGCATGAAGAAGTTTTTTTAAATAAGAAATGAGAGGTACATTTTCTCATAAATTAAAGAATACATAGCTAGAATACAGTAAGAAATTATGTTGTGACAAAAGTAGGTTTTTCTCTAGGATCTATGACCTCTCCAGCCATGTGTATTTGGCTATGTTTACAGTATCTAACAAATGAGTTTCCTCCCATTGAGCCAGGCTTATGTCCAATTAAACAGATCTTGATTACTCCTAAAATAAGAGTGCCACTACTGTATCAATGGAAACACTTTCCTGGGCCAGCCATTGCTGTGTTTAGTAGGCTTTAATAGAGGGTTAGGACCATTTATTGGTTTTCTCCCTTAGCAGTATCCTCTGGTGCCATGAGAGCTAGCCTTCATGGAGCAGGTTCCTAGGGTAGTCCCAGCTCAGTTGTTTAAGTCCTGTGTCTGAAGTCTGTCTTCAGCAAAAAGGACATAACTTCAATTTCTGGGAGTCAGTCAAGGACTGTGGCAATAGTTTATGTTGTTTTGGAAATGTCTTAGACTACCCTAACAGCTCAAAGGGAATTTTCTCCTGCCTAGTACTGTGTCTTACATAGCCAGCACACCACACCACACACACACACACACACACACACACACACACACACACACACACAGAGTACCCTAAAAGATATAAGTACAGAAAAGGGCTTTCTAAATCTGACAGCAGGTACTCAGGAATTAAGGTCAGTGAGTGAATGGGACCTCATCAATGAAGTAAAAAGAAGTATGGAAAGCAATATATATATATATATATATATACACACATATATATATATACACACATTGTGTGTACTTGTCAGCAGGCTTCTGGAACTAATACATCTCCCTCTGATTTTTCATACCAGCTAAGCATTGTTTATCTCCCTGCAAAACCCTTCCTTATCCCTCCCCTGTGAAAATACCCCCATTTCCTCATTGACAAAACCTGTCTCCTACTATCCCCTTCTCTGACATGTCTTCTTCCCCCTTTTCTCCATGGTTCCTTTCCATTTTACTGACTCCTCTGGTTACATCAGAATATATACTCACCTCTAAGAATCTGGAACTAAGATGTACTAATGAGGGAGAACATATGTCATTTCTTTTTCTGAGCCTGTGTTATTTCCTTTATAACAGTTTCTAGTTCCAAACATTTACCTGAAATTCTCATCTTTCTCTATTGATACAAGTCTATTGTATAAATGGACCACATTTTCATTATCCATTTATTAGTTGAGGGACATTTAGGTTGTTTCCATTTGTCACCTATTGTGAAAAGGACAACAACAAATACGGCTGTATAAATATCTCTGCTGTAGGATGAGTACCTTGGGTACATGCCAAGGAGTGGTATAGCCAGATCATATGGTAGATTTATTTTAGATTTTAGTACTTCTCCACACTGATTTCAGCAGTGGTTACACTGGTTTGAAATCCCATCAGCAGTGGATGAGGGTTTACTTTTCCCTGAATTCAGGCCTGCATTTGGTATTATTTGTCCTCTTGGTATTAGCCATTCGTACTGGAGTAAGATGAAATCTTAAAGTGGTTTTAATTTCATTTCCCTGATTATTATATTTGTTTACAAATTTTAAAAGCACTTATTAGCGATTTTTTTTCTTTTGTTCAGATCCACAACTCATTTTTCAAACAGGGTCATTTATTTTCTTTTTTGTTTTTTTGAGTTATATGTATATTTTGGTTATTAATGCTCTGTCAGATGTATATTTTGGGAAGATTTTCTCTCTGTGGGCTTCCTCTTCACTCAATTAGTTGTTTCCTTTGGTATACAAAAGCTTTTTACTTCTTTAATGACGTTCCATTCACTCATTGACCTTAATTCCTGAGAATCTGTTGTCAGATTTAGAAAGTCCTTTCCTGCCCTTATATCTTTTAGGGTATTGAATTGGCATTATTTTTGATCATGTAAATTCATATTACCAAATAGATACCAACACATTGAATATGACTTTGAATGGAATATAGACTATATGAAGTCCTAAGCTTCTAACTGCATGCTTTTGTTTTGTTTTTTTTGTTTTTTGTTTTGGAGACAGGGTCTCCCTATATCCCAGCTGGCCTGGATCTCACTTTGTAGGCCAGACTCTCCTTAATATCACAGAGATCTGCCTGCCTTTGCTTCCCTACTGCTAGGATGAAAGCAGTGTGTTCTTACAACCTGCTAGAACACATTTTGGAGTGAAGTTGTTTTTTTTTTTTTTTGCATTTTATTTAAATCTATTTATTGATATTATTCTTAATCAGGATATTGTAATTTCTAATCAAATCTCTCTGTGATTATTTACATGAAACTTCTTTCTGGAAGATGATAGCTTCTTCTGGTTCATTTTTAGAATCCCAGCCCATTTTAGTAATCCTGAGAGCCAGGTAACTCATGAGCTTTTGGGAAAAGCTTAGAAAGCAAAGACAAGATGTATACACACTGAGCCTCAAAGGAGAAAGCAACTCCCAACCATTTCCCTCTGGGTCAAAGAAATCAGAACACAGGAAGCAGTCTTAGTACTCCTCAGCGGATACCAGATTATGAACAAGTTTTTTGGTCTCTAAGGATATTTCAGACTCATTGATGAACTTGGCTCTGTTATTCTTGGTGGGTAAAAAAAAATCTGTGGATAAAACTGACATTTAGTTGAAATAAAAAATAGTTAAATGAGAACAGAGATTTGAAAGACAAATAAATTAATAAATAGATGACACAAGTTATCAGTGATGAATGCTGAAACAGACAGGTGTGTATGCATAAACAGAGTATTGCAAATTGCTCGTTTTGAAACATGAAATGATTCTGTGTAATCTAATAGTCACGAAGCATAGAGGAATCACTCGTAGAATGTAGGTTTGTAATCTGAGAACCCAAAATATTTCAAAGTCTTTTGCAAATTGAAGTGTTGGGGGAATGGAGGAAAGCACATATTCTTTGGTTTTCATACTGAGACGATTATCATTGGGGAATAAAATTTCAATATTCGGAAGCAGTACACAGGATGAAAAAGAGTCGAATATTGTCTCCGTATGAGCATGGTTCTGGGCAGAAGTATATATTACAATAGTACTTTTTGGAAGCCAAAGGTCACATATTAGAAATTGCATTTTATTATTCTGTCTCAGTGTGAGCAGAAATTTTTATTAAAAAACCTAACAGCACACAGCCCACACTGTTTTATGAATATATGGAGAATGATACAAAAATTACTGTGGGAGAGAAGGTTCATTTTCATCTTGTACTTAAGAATGAGGAAAAACACATTAACTATGATCTCAGAAATAAAGCTAATATACTGCAGAGCTGGAAGCATCAAACTGTGGCAGGAGAGAGCCAGCAAGCCTGTGAGTTTACTTTGTAAATAATGGTTTGGAGACACAGTTACAGTCATTCATTTGAAGAGTGTCTGTGATAGTTTAGACACCATAGGAGGCGGGAGAAGTAAGGGGAAGGGGAGCGGGAGAGGGGAGAAGGGAGATGAGGATGAGGAGAATGGGGATGAGGGGATGAAGGAGGAGGAGAAGGAGAAGGAGGATGAAGAGGAGGAGGAGGAGGAAGGGGAGGGGAGGGGAAGGGGAAAGAAGGGGGTGGGAGGAGGAGGAAGAGGAATTATTGAACACCTGGGAAGAAGACCATGTGACTCTAAAGCCTAAATCTTTTATTTATTGGTTTCAGTTATTTAGAGAAAATAATTTTCCAATTGCACTGTAAGAGATTTCAGGGAGAGACCTAATGTAGAACAATTAGAGGATAGTGCTATCGGATGAGATTTCTGCTGATCAAGCAAGCCAGTGTTCTTCAGACTGTCTATTTGCTAGTTCACAAGGGACCACCTTTTCTATAAGCTAATGTTATCCTTCGTCCTTTTTGTCATATATTGCCAGTTATCTAACCAGTAGACATTTTTATCTCTGTATTTATAAGGGAACCACTTTAAACATTTCCATTTAAT